TGGCCAGAATGAAGTCATGCCTTGATCCCCTTACATGGAAAATGTGGTTGGAGAGTTTTTGTTTTTCCCACAGTTTCAGTGATAACTGGGTAGTGACCATGGGAAAAGAAATGGTTTAGTGCTGGCACACGACAAAACTTTCCATCTCCTTCCATCTCCTTCCATCTCCTTCCATCTCCTTCCATCTCCTTCCATGTCCTCCCAGGCCTCAGGTGTGGAGAGGCTGATGAGTTGAGTCTCACTAGAGCTGGGTGAGGACCCCAGCCACAGTCAGAGGAGTTGCCTCGTCTTCTGAAGCAGCAATAAATGTTTTGCCACTGAAGAAGGAAAGGGAGAAGAAGAAAAAAAAATGTAAATCAAAGGTAGCTTTTCCCTCGGGAGTTTAAAAGAAGCTTTGCAGGGAACAGTGGATAATAAGGAAGGTGGAACATCTTTTGCTAATGCAGGAGAGCTCTTGACCCTACCCGATTCTGCTGAGGAATGAAACGAGTGAGAGCCCCAGAAGGAACATTAGGTACTCTGGTTATTGGTCTTGTTAAGAAATCCAGTCCATTAAATGAACACACTTGGGCAGTGAGGAGTTTCAGCAGTGCTGAGCATGCAGAGCCCTCCCCAGCGAGCTGCTGCTAATGAAATAAAGCATTCCAGGCCCCAGGTGACCACGAGCACAGCTGGGTGACGTGTTGAACTGCTCCCTGCTGCACTGACTGCACTGGCATGGTCTCTCAGAAGTCTGTGGAGCTCAGCAGACTCTCAAGTGATGCTTTTTAAATCCTGAAGTGGCTGTCTGACAAACAAAACAAAAATACCCCCAGACAGGAGGCTGTGCTTCACAGAAAGGGAAAAATCAAGCCCAAGGGGCCGCCCAGCAATTCTGCCTGACTCCTCTCCCCTCCCAAGGTTTGCCAGCTCATCCTGTCCCCACCCCCTTCTGCCCAGGTGCCAGGAATTCACTCCGGGGACATCTGTGGATGTCCCCGAGGTGGTCAGGCAGTCCTTGTGTCATTGCCCTGCTCTGGAGGCACAGAGCAGAGGTGGCAGAGGTGGGATCCATCCCACGGTGTGTGTGAGCAGCTCACACTGCTCTGAAGGGTGTAAGAGCTACCCAGAGAAGGATTTCAGCACTGAGTGAATACATATTAATGTGGCCCCATCAAACCCTCCATCAAACCTTATTAAAGGATAATTCACTTTCTGTCACTGGGAGCAGTCGGGCTGTGCCCGGAGGGAGCAGCTGACCCGAAATGTGGGTTCTTGCAGGGCTGTGCTGCAAAGCCTGCCCTGCTGCTGCATTATAGTATTTCTGACCAAGAGATGGGGCAACTGAGAGGCGTTTTAAAATCTTCTGGTTTTAGTCTCATGAGATGGGCGAGATTTCTTGTGGTTTTGATGCTGAAATTTCCAATCCAGCATGGTGACCTTCAGCGACGGCGCTGAGCTCGGGTATGATCCAACAGCCTGGTGCCCCATGGACGAGCCAGTCCTGGAGGGTTTCCCAGTTCCCCAGGAGGAACTGGGGCAGGTGGGAAGCACCAGCTCCCAGCTGGGATGCCCAGGACAGCTCAGGAGGTGGGTTCAGCCCCAGGGCAGCACTCCGGGACAACCCCGGGATAACAATTCCTTGGAATGGCTGCAGTGGGGCTGTCCCCTGGCAGCTGTATGAGGCAGGCACCAGGATTCCCTGCTGGACACACAGGGACAGGGACAGACAGACCAGGAACACAGAGACGTTCCTGTAGCACAGATGCAGAAATCCCAATATCCGCTGCCAAAGCTGTGAGGATGGAGCCACCCAGAGGTGCCTCTCCTGCTCTGACACCCCTCTGCACACAGCAGCTTTCCCTCTCTGCAGCGAGCATTTGCTCCAGCCGGCCAAATTTTACCAGTAAAATTGGATTTGAAGCCCCTGAGGACGCTGCTCATGGGAACCCTCCCCAAAAAGGCAGCGCAGGCAGCTCCTCCCTCCTCCCTCCCAGCACACACAGAAAAGGATTTCTGGGGAAGCAACAGGAACTCCCACCACCAACAGCACTGTTCCAGGACATTCAACCCACCAGCTTCTAGCCAGGACAGGGAGGGGATGAGCAAATTGCACAGTCAGGGCAGAGTCCCACGGGAATTCCTGTCCTGGCTGCCTGGGCACCCACACTGACTCCTGAAAAACAATCTCTGGGAATTCCCACTGTTTAGAATCCCAGAATGATTTGGCCTGGAAGGGACCTTAAAGATAGACCATGGGCAAGGAGAACTTCACTATCCCAAGTGGCCTTGGACAGTGCCAGGGATTCAGGCACCTGTGCCAGGGCCTGCCCACCCTCATGGGGGAGAATTCCTTCCCATTATCCCATCTAACCCTGCCCTCTGGCAGTGGGAAATCATTTCCCTTGTCCTGTCACCACATGCTTTTGTTTAAGCAAAGAAAATTTCATTTAGAAAAATTAAAGAAAAAAAATCTTCACAGGATGAAACAGGACAGATTCTCAAGGAAATTCCTGTTCTCCAGAGATCCCTTCCCAACAGACATGGCCACCATTTTCCTTGATCAAGTGCAAAAAGAATCCCCAATTCTGTCCAATCAAAAGAAACAGCTCTTGTATCGTGCATCATCTGAAACCTCCAAAATCCACTTCGGCTGGGAAGGAATGTCTTTCCCAAACCCAGCTTTTTCAATAATATCCTTGAAATACCTATTTTACAAACCTCTTCAGCCTCCTGTGTGCCCACAGCAACAGCCTGTGGGCTAAGCCTTCCTAAGGTGCTCCAGGCTCTACCTTGCACTTGCAGAGGCTCCTCAGCTGACTGAGAAATCAGCGACTTTTCAATAAAAACCAACAACATCTTCCAATTATGTTCTTAATTTATTAAGAAACATGAAACTTGCTTTGGTATTTACTGTAATGAATAAAAATAAGAGTAATTCTATTTATGCTGCCGTCCCAAAGAGGTGTGCAGGCACAGCCATGACAGCTGTGAGGGAGAAGCAACTTTTGATATCAAAAATCAAAAAATTTGGCTAAACATACCTTTTGGAAGGAAGAAAAAAATACAAAAAAATGATAGAAATCCTTTGGCGTAGGATAGAACTACATCCCATTTTGAGGAACCCCACACATGCCAGGAGCAAATAGAACACCCTAACAAAACCCTAACCCTAACCCTAACCCTAACCCTAACCCTAACCCTGACCCTGACCCCCTAACCCTGACCCTAACCCTGACCCTGACCCTAACCCTGACCCTGACCCTGACCCTGACCCTGACCCTAACCCTAACCCAAACCCTAACCCTAACCCTAACCCTGACCCTAACCCTAACCCTAACCCTGACCCTAACCCTAACCCTGACCCTAACCCTAACCCTAACCCCTAACCCTGACCCTAACCCTGACCCTGACCCTAACCCTGACCCTAACCCTAACCCTAACCCTAACCCTGACCCAAACCCTAACCCTAACCCTAACCCCTAACCCTGACCCTGACCCTGACCCTGACCCTGGGAGCCCGGCAGGGGCTGTGGCTCGGGTTTGGTTCCTAACCCACTTTTCCCTGGAGCTCAGTGCCCCGCTGGGCCCAGCCCGTGGCCAGGGGACGGTGCCAGCCCTGCACGGTGCGGGACACTGCTGCCACCTTCCCCCTCAGGATCCCACCGGGCAGGGCAGCAGCGGGACCGGGGCACCCAGAGCAGCGCCCCATGGATTTTTCCTCCTATTGACTGACCCACATGGGGTTTATTTGCACGGAGGCTGCCTCGCGGCTCATTAGCGCTGCTCTAATGAGGCCCCTGCGATGTGAACGCCTCCCGGGCTCCAGCCCAGCCCGGGCTCCCGGAGCATCCCCATCCCTGCCCCAGCGCCACCCCGCTCTGTGCCTTGTCCCCACGGCAGTCCCCAAAGGCCAGCCCAGAGCAGGACAGGAGGCTCTGGAGGGGAGCAGGAAGGCATGGCCAGAGCCAGCACATCCCTTTTGCAGGAGCAGGGCTGCCCAGCGAGCCACTGAGCCTGACAGCTACCAGCAGTACCAGGAGTGAATGATTTCCTTCTCAGAGAGAGGAATCAAGGAGCTCCACTCCATCTTTTTCCATATTCCAGGAGCTCCGTGCCAGCCAGTCCATCTGCAGCAGCTGGGGCAGACCCTGTCCAGCTGCCAAAGCACGGCAGATATAAACAGTGCTCCAAACAAAGGTGGTGTGTGTCTGAGAGACCCTGGAAAACCTCTCCCTCCTGGGAGCTGTTGGAGGCACAAATGGATTTCTATTGTGTTATTTCTGGAGAAAAATAAGGGTACAATAATAACAAACACCAGGGAAACCTAATAAAACCTGCAAAAGACTGGAACTGAACCACAGTGGGCAGAGACAGGCAGGGTTGCCACAGCAAAACACTGAGCAAAGAACAGAAATTCAACTTACTACTAAGCAGGACAAGCGAAAGCCCAAAGGAAGAATTGCTGGTTCAAATAAAATTTAACCCTGAGCTTACTTCAGATTCAGAACCACAGCACTGCCAAGTTTTATGCACCTTCCCACGTGCTCCCTTTCACCTTCAGTTTGCTTTTAGATCAGTGCTGCCCAAGGGCTGCAGGCATTGCTGCCAGGGGCTGCACGAACCAGCCTGAGCTGCAGAGGCACACCAGGACAGATTCCCGTGCCAGGGCGGAATCACAGTCCCCCAGAGGGACAGAAGTGCCCTGCTGTGCTGGGCAGTGGGCAGGAGGTGCTGGCACCAACAGGGAAGTCACCATCAGAAAAACAATGGCCCTGCATACACAGCTCAAAAATTGGCCACATTTCTGATGGACTGGGGCGTTCACCAGACTTTTGGAATTCCTTGTTCCCTCACAAGTCAGGAAATTGTTGAAAGCACACACCACACTCTGAAACGCACTCTAGATCAACAGAAGTGGGGAGTGGCCCAAGCAACACCTCAGATGAGGTTGAGCAAAGTTTCATATGTCTTTAATTTTTTAAATTTCTCCCCAGTGTGAGAAATCATACTCACTTTCAAAACATTTAAAAGATTTATTAAAATCTTATCAAAAATACAACACAAGACTGAATGGAGAAAATATTATGGCGCTGTGAGCAAAGGATTTTCCCCACCATGTGCTCAGCCATGTGGAGGTTTCACCTTTTAACCCTTTAGCCCTCCCAAAGTTCTGTCCATCGTCCTTCTTCGCTCTCCAGTGGTGGAGATCACTTCCCAAATCCTGACTGGAGGTCAGCTGCTGCCAGAGTAACAACCCCACCCTCCCAAATGTCCCAAAGCCAGGCAGTCCCCTGATAACCACGCAGGGAGGGTAAAACACAACTATAAATCTATAAAACTTCTCCTAACATATTGACACGACATTTGCCTTTAATTGTGGGAGTCAACCCTGGCATTACTCATCTGTCCCACCAAGGAAAAGGGAGTTGTGCCACACTGTGACAGCAGGGCTGCACATTCCCACGTCTGCATCTGCAGCAGGGCATCAGCTCCAGCCCAGCAGGAGGGGAGCAGGGATGAGAGGACAGCTGAGTGTAGGAGGATCATGGCACTGTCAGGTTTAGGGGTGAATTCCATGATATCAAAAGGTGTTTCAGAAGTTTAATGATTCTGTGACTTTGTCTGTGGTTTGTGCTCTAGGAGGAGATGCTGCAGAAGGGCTGGGAAAACCCCAAGGTGTCAAAAGCTGCCACATGCCAATACTCAAACTCCTCCAACACCCCTGGGCTCCTCACAAAGCGCAGCATCCTCCTGGGTTGCCCCCATCTGCTTCTCCAGAAGAAAGAGGACCACCTTCAGACTCAGCCTTTAAGAAGCTGGCAAGGTTGGAGAAAAGAAGGAAAGGGTCATTTTAGAAGCTCTTTGCTCCTAAAGGGGCCTTTGGCTCAATCCACCTGCACACCCTCAGGCAGCTCGACCACCACAGGGGCACAATCATCCGGCTCTGCCTCAAAGTCCCATCTGAATTTCTTCGTCAGGTGAGCCTTGAACTTCTCAGCCTTTTTCCTCAGAGCCTCATCCACAGCAGAGCTGCAGGTGCAGGAGAACAGCACCTGAAACAAAGAGAGAGGTCAGGGAGAGCCCAGCATGGCACCAGCTGGGCACCTCCTCCCTACAGAGTCACCAGGAAGCACCAGGACAGAGCCAGGTTAGGACCCTGGGACGACTGCAGCTCTGGGGGACCCAACCAAAGCCACACCTCTCACCCCACAGCCCACGCCCATCCTGCCTTCAACACCACTGAGCCAGCATCCCACACACCTGCACTCAGGTGAGAACTCTGTGTGAAGCAGGAGTGCGTTTGTAACTGAATTTGTACTGTGGAATTCTGAAATATGCCAAAGTGTGAGCTACAGAAAACATCTTGACAGAAGGTATTTTTAAAAATTCAAATACTAGTAGACAGATTTCCAGCAAGTGTCCAAAAGGCCAGCAAATAATTGCACCTCTCATTTCCATGGGCACAGATTATTTTTGTAACATGGTATTACCAAGACTTCAGGATATAGAGGAAACTTAATGAAAATACCTTGAATGTCAGAAAAGAATGGGAGCTCTCTGGAAAAAGCTTGGTTATCCCCAGCACAGCCATTTCCTTGTGCACAGGGTGCTGAAGTCTGGAGGAACCTCTGCCTTCCATCCCCAAACACAAACCTATTAACATGTCACAAATTCACAGCCTCTGCTGGCAGCCTGGGGGGAAATCATCTGTGTGATCAACAGGACACTGAGCCCCAGAGCCCAAACCAGCCTGGTTCTGCTCCTCCTGAACCTGTGATCCAGAACTAATTTCCATAAAAAGAAATCTCCTCTGGGGAAAACGCAGCCTCTTATTTACTGGAAGTTGGATAAAACACTGACAATGAGCAGCAGAGTTCACTGCTTTGTGGATGAGCATTTGCCTTTTTCTTGCTCATTCTACTGGAAAACTGCCTCTTTCTAACAGAACTCTTAGACAGCAATACTGCTGGTAGGGAAAAAATTATTAGATTATACTTCCCACTTCTTCTCAATGAATTGCACATTCAATTCTTTATTTCACCAAGTTGTTTTTTTTTTCTTTAACCACTGGTAGGGCTGCAGAGTCACTGGTGACTGCACTGTGCTCTTCTTGCCTTGGATCAAACTCCAAAAATGAAGTTGCTGCTTCCAGAGCTGAGCAGGAGCTGCACAGATAATGACCTCCCCACAGCTCTGAGCACCTGGCCAGGGCCAGTGAGGCAGAGAATTCTGATGTCTGTGTGTGAGGTGGGGATAAGGAAAGGCCCAGAGCTTCCCTGGCTCCACTTCAAGAAATCCCACAGGAGCAGAGCAGTGGAGAACTTGCTGAGGAAGGGCTCAGTCTGCAAGGCTTTTCTTTGTCACTGGGAATGTGGTGACTCCTGCCAGGGCTTCAGGGTGATTCTGACACCTGCTCCTGCTGAGGGACTGAAATACAGACTGAGGGAGCCCAGGCATGGACAAGACTCAGGCAGCCAGAAGCAGCAATAAGGGATTCCCAAATTCCCCTCAGAGGGAGAGAATGGCTGGTTGGAGAGTATTCTGGGTACTGCTGTGAACTGGCAGCACTGCTCTGAGCATGCTGCAAACACACCTGGGCTGTCCAGTCCTGTAGTGGGAGGGAAAAAACCTACCAAATATAAAATGTACATTAAAACCCTTCCGAGACTTGTAAGAATCACAACTGAAAAATCTGAAAGCCACTTGATTAAGGCAATGCTTCCCAAAGCATTTTACCCAGCAATTAAGCCCAAAAACCTTCACCTTCCCCAGAAGTACATCAAGAGCTTGGGTCAACAAGGACAGGGATGGAACTGCACCTGCAGCAGAGCTTCCTGCTGGGCTGGTTCCCGTTGCTCAGCTTTATCAGTCTGATTTGGGCTTTTTATATAAAGTAAGCCAGTTTGCTGCACTGCCAGCACTGTCACCAGTAGTGGAGTAACTGCTTTCACTGGGGCTGAGCTACATACCTGCCCCACCTGTCTCAGCAGAAGCAGCATCTTTTGCATTTTGGAATAACCATAAATTCCCTCTGGAGAAGAACCTGACTACAGGAAATCCTCAGCTGTGCTAAGGAATGGAAAAACTGCTTAAACACTATCACTGCCCTTTGCTCACTAAGGCTTTGCTGCAGCTTCCCTGCACACTGAGCACACCATTCCAAAAATCAGCATCATCAGTCCTTCATGACAAAGTTTTGTTGTTGTTTTTTCTTTTGAAGAATGAACAGCATTCTGGAAAAATTAAACAAACAGACACCACACTGCACTTGCCCAGCCTCTCCTGTAGCTGTTGAGCTGAATTGCTTGCTGAATAACAGAGGGAAAAAGTCAAAGTAAAGCCCTGTGTGCTCAGACAGGTTCCTGCCTCCCATGCAGCTTAATTCCTTTGGCAGCTTCACCCCAAATTTGACACTGCCTTCCCTCCCACTCAACTTCCCAGGGAACAGCCACAAACACACCTGTAAGGTGCTGGTTAAAAAGTTGTCCTGGGAGACAATGTCCACAAAAAAATCTGCTGGGATCTCGTTGAGCTGGTGATAGAGCACGGAAATGAGGTTGATGTAAAGGTCTTGGTACTTCCCTATGGCCTCCTCTGAGCGGCACAGGATGTTCAGGAGCCTCTTCCAGTGCTCAAAGGCATCATACACGTTCCCAATCAGGAAGCAGATGAAGGCAAACTGCAACTCAGCTGTGTGGGTTCAGAGAAGGGAAACAAAACAAAACATGTACGACTAAACAGATATCCTGGGAATGTGTCATACACAAAGCTCTGCAAATGGTTTCTAAACTCTGGTTTGGCTTTTGCAAAGTGCATTCATACCTCAAACACTGACCCTGTGCTGCTCTTCAGCTGGAGCAAAACAAAGCAGAACGGGGCAGGTCACCTGTAACTGTGATTATCAGCACTGGGGAGGGACTCTACAGACAGCAAACACCAAACAGCCCCAAACATCAAGGCAGACCCTGCTGTTATTCTGTGAGTGTTCAGCCTGCCAGTGCTGAGTGTCCAGCACCACATGGGACTGCAAACAGCACTGTCCTGGAGTTCTGGGAGAGATCAGCAGTGCCTCAACGAGTGTGTTTGTCTTGCTGAATTAAGAACCAGGGTTCATCACACTGGATGCTTGGTATCAGCTGCTTTCCCACCATTCCCTAAGGTAATTTGTTCTCTCTACATCCTACAGTTGTCTTTGGTAATTTTGAAAAAGAATAAATTGTATAATGTTAATGTACAAAAAAATGGAAGAAGGGACAAACAAAGGCTTATTCCAAACCTGGGAGGGCTTCTCCCTCCATCCTGCAACAAAACAAATCCCTGCTCCAGGACCTCCACAAACCCAGCATTTATTTGTACCACAGGCTGCAAAGCAGGCTGGGGAGCAGCTGAGCTCCGGGAGGTGCGGTGCCCCCACAGCAGGGCTGGCACAGCCCGGCCACTGCCACTGTCACTGCCACTGTCACTGCCACCAGCAGCACACGGAGCACGGCCAGGAGGGGCCAGGCCCTGCAGTAGGAACCACCAGGCCCACAGCTCCTGCCCAACCGAACAGGAACAAGGGGCTGGGGGTGCCCATCGCCACTCGATGCTCTCAGGACTCTGTCAGAGCTGTCCTCACGAGGTTCCCTGAACAGCTAAGGTGCCAGGGCCACTTGTGACGGCTGCTTTTGACTTCATCGGGGCAATCAGGGCTGCAGCACCATGTTCCCACACCAGAGCCATAGAGCAGAATTACAGAATATCCCGAGTCGGGAGGGACCCACAAGAATCCCCCAGCCCAGCCCAGACCCCCCAACAGCCCCACCCTGGGCACCCCTGGCAGCGCTGCCCCAACGCTCCTGGAGCTCTCGGGGCTGTGCCCATCCCCTGGGGAGCCTGGGCAGTGCCAGCACCTCTGGAGGGAGAACCTTTTCCTAATATCCAAACTAAATTTCCCCTGACGGCTCCAGCCGGTCCCTCGGGTGCTCTCCCCGGTCACACAGAAGAGAGATCGCAGCTGCCCCTCGGGAAGAGCTGCAGCTCCGGCCTCAGTCTCCTGCAGGCAGTGGGAACAGCCCCTGTGGCTGCTAGAAACTGCCCGAACTTCTGTCCTGCGCTGAAGAGAGCCCTCGGCGCGCCAGGGAGCCGGCAGAGGTCCCACCCGGAGCACAGAAACGCCATTTCCCCGGGCGCTCACCGAGCAGGCCCAGCGGCCGGCCGGGGTAGCGCTGCTCCATCACACGCTGCAGGGCGTAGCTCAGGTCCATGCTGTGCCGGGTGATCTCCTCGGGGCTGGCTCCGTCGGGGAAGGCCTGCCGGGGCAGCTCGGAGAAGCGGATCTGGGTGCCGGCCCGCGGCCGCATGCGGGGCAGGCGGGCCAGGCCCTCGGCGTAGCTGCGGCACTCGGCGCCCAGCGGCGGCCGGCGCTGCCCGGCGCGGTCCCGCGTGTGCCGCCCCGCCGCCTCGGGCAGCACCTCGGCGAAGGCGCAGATCTGGCCGCTCTCGGGCTGCAGCTCCTCGGCCGCCGCCTCGCTGATGAAGCTGCTCAGCGACACCCACTTCTTCAGCGTCTCGTAGGGGTAGGGCCCCAGGAAGGGGTCCAGCTCCCGCAGGCTGTCCCGCAGCGCCTCGCCCTGCTCGGGCGGCTCGGGCCGCACGGCCTCGCCCGCGGGGTCCCAGCGCAGCACCCGCACCTCGCGGCGCCGCAGGCTGAGGAAGCGGCCGGAGCGCGGCCCCGCGTCCCGCCCGCCGGCGCCGGCCGCGCTGCAGTGCACGAAGTGCAGCCCCGGCGGCACCATCTTCACGCCGCGGAACCGCGGCCCCACGGCCCACGCGCTGTAGTCGATGCCGAACTCGGTGCCCTCGGGCACGTCCAGCACCACCACGGCCGCGCCCTCGAAGAAGAGCTGCCGGGCCAGCTCGGGGTCCGGCCGCGGCGCCGCCATGCCGGGCCGCACCGGGAGCGGCGGCGCTGCCCGGACATCCGGGCCCGGCGGGAGGAGCCTCCGCGCCGGCCGGCCCCGGCCCCGGCCCCGGCCCCGGCCCCGGCCCCGGCCCCGGCCCCCCGGCCCCGGCCCCGGCCCCCCGGCCCCGGCCCCCCGGCCCCGGCCCCGGCCCCAGCCCCGGCCCCCGGCCCCGGCCCCGGCCCTGTCCCCTGGGGCCCAGCCTCAGCCCCCGGCCCGCCGCTGCCCCTTCTGCCTCTCCGTGGCTGGCGGCTGCCCCCGCTGACCCATTGTTCCCAAAACCGGTCGCCAGTCCCTCCAGCCGCCTGCCATTCCCCTGGGCCCCCCGTGCTCCCAGCCCCGCAGCGGGACAGACGGACAAGAGCCGTGCCTGGGACTGATGGAGCGAGAAGCCCCCGGGACAGACACTGTGACCCTCACGGAGACCCTCACCGTGACACAGACACTGCCCCAGCACCACGTCCTCCCTTCCAGGACAAGGCAGGGCCGGGGTCCGCAGGGATGGGCAGCTCCCGCATCCCGAGCATTCTCACAAGCCCGAGGCTCAGCACCTGCCACACGAAGCCGCTCCCGGCTCCACCAGCCGCAATTCCCGACCTGGCAACATCATCTGCCCCTGGTGTGCTGAGAGCCCACCCGCAGAACTTCGTCCAGCTCTGGGCTCTGCAGCGCTGGAGGGGTGCAGAGATGTTGGAATGAGTCCGGAGGTGGCCATGGAGATGCTCAAATGGGCTGGAGCCCTCTGCTCTGGAGCCAGGCTGGGAGAGCCAGGGGTGCTCAGCTGGAAAATTAAAGGCTCCAGGAGACCTCAGAGCCCTTTGCAGGGCCTAAAGGGCCTCCGGGAGAGCTGGAGAGGGACCTGGGACAAGGGCCTGGAATGCCAGGACGTAGGGAATGACTTCCCACTGCCAGAGGGCAGGGTTAGATGGGATATTGGGAGGGAATTCTTCCCTGTAAGGGTGGGGAGGCCTTGGTACAGGTCGGCCAGAGCAGCTGTGGCTGCCCTGGATCCCTGGAATTGTTGAAGGCTAGCCTGGATGGGGTTTGGAGCACCCTGGTCTAGTCAAAGGTGACCCTGTCTGTGGCAGGGGATGGAACAGGGTGAGCTTTATATTCCCTTCCATCCCAAACCATTCTGGGATTCTGTGATTTCTACAATCTTCTCTTTAGACAAAGCCTGGTATTTCCATGTGCAGTGCTCCCTGCTGCAAGGTTCCCTCTTCACGTCTCCATCCTCTCAGCAGGAAAGAGTTAACCGAGGCCCCAGGCTGATTTAGCATCAAACACATTTATTTCACTTTTATTGAATACAAGAACAGTGAGCACACACGCATACACCACTGAGCACTGAAAAGGAGTATGACCAAAGGGGGCGAGGGAGAACAAGGGAAGAGAAAAGGAGAGTTAGTGAAGGAACAACAGAGCGTTGCAGTTGGTTGGTAAGGTGCTTCTCAAATAAAAATAAATATTATTATTATTATTATTGTTACTGTTATTACTCATGCAATCGCAGGCCAGGTTCAGAATGAATTTGTGGGATTGGGTAAAAACAGGCACTCATGTCTTCCACCCCTTTCCACAGAAATGGCCCCTGGAAGAAAAAAAGCAGTGACCAGCTATCCAGAACAGAGAGTGGTGATGGGCAGGCTGGGGCTGAGCAGCAGAAAGCTGCAAGTCACCAGGAGAACAAGCAGTGAGCTTTTTTTTCCTTTGCTTTTATTCTTTTTTTTTTAAGAAAAAAAAAAAAAAAAGGTTTGGACAGTGCCACTGATGAACACGCTGTGGGAGCCAGGGGCTGCTCACTGCAAACAGAACTCCCTCAGCCCAAGGAGCCTCAGTCTGCTCAATCCCATGGGAGCCTTCACTTCCCAGGCTGGGCACAAGGCCAGCAGCAACTCTGCAGGGTCACAGCGGCCTCGGGCGGGCTGGGGGCTGGGGAGGGGCCCAGCCAGGTGGGCTCCCCTGGCCCCGAACTGTGCCATGTACTGCTGAATGCCAGCACGGCGGGCAGAGCCCGGCCCTGCGCCACCCTTGGCAGTGCCACTGCTGGGCACAGCTGGCTGGGTGCACTGGGAAAACAAACGAGAGAAAAGGAGCCTCTGTGCAACTGCCCGAAGTGCTGCGAGGCTGGGGCTGTGCTCTCTGGAGACGTGTGGCTGGCAGCTGGGGATGGGCACTGCCAGCAGCCCCGATGCTCTCGCCTTCCATGCCTTGCAGGAGAAGCCTCTCTGCCAGGAGAACACTCACTGGTGAGCAGCTGCCAGGGAGCAGCTCCCTCCTGGGACAAGTGGAAGCAGGGTCTGCCCACGGCATCCTCATGGCTCAGGAGCTCCTGCTTGGGCATCCTGTGAGCCCTGGCAAGGCCTGGCAGAACACACCTGGTCCTGGGCACAGCCTGTGTGAGGGGTGGGAGACTAAAGGCAAAATGGTGCAGAATCATGGCTCCTTCCGTTTCTGCAGGAGCTAGAGACAATTCCAAGAAGGAAACCCATTTCTCTCCTTTCCTTTCTGGTTTTGGTTGGGAGCCTACCTGAACTGCCTGGTTCACAGTGTACGGGGCCCTGGGCTTGGCCCACGATCCCCTTCCAAAGGCAGCCCTGGAGGGAGCCTGTGGCTGAAGGCCGAGCTGGGAGCAGCCCCACTGAGCCTCCTGGGCTCTCCCATCCATCATCCAGCCTGGAATGCTGGGGACACTCTGCAGGGATGGACACAGCACACTCCCTGCCCTGCCCATCCCCCGGCAGACAGGGCAGCACTGCCATGGCCCTGCCAGCGCTGTCCCCAGCGCTGCCATCACAGCCCTGGTACTGGGGGAGGCAGGGCACAAACAGCCCCTCTGCCTTTGACCTACTGAAAAACTCAAGAACCTGCATTACTGGGAACCAGAAACAAAGCAAAGCCACCCCACTACCGCAGGGCTCCTGCAGGGAGCCCCGAGCCCTGTGGCTCCTGCCTCGCTCCCGGCTGACCCTGGGGGCAGCTCTGGCTCTGGGGGCTGGGCTGGGAGCCCATCCTGCCTCCGGCTGGAGCTGGAGCCTTCCGTGCCCCTCCAAACCTCACCACCACACACTGCAGACCACCGGCAGGACATTCCTGTCCTTCACCCCCTCCCCTCCCCCCCAGCCAGCAGCAGCCAAAACCTTTCCCATTCCTTCTTGTGGGACTCAGAGTCCCATGTGTGATCTGGGTCTCCAAGTACACCAACCACAGTCAATCCAAGAGTTAACAATTTCAAAATGTTGGCACCGTCTGTACCATCACTGTTGAATTATTTCAGCATTGTTCCCTCCCTCTCCCTCCGTTATATAGAATAATATACAGAACTGAAATGCACATCCATATGAAACCCCACAGGCTGCTCGTTAGAGATGAGAAACCATGTACATATCATTTGCTTTTGTTTGAAATGAAACCCATTCCTAAATACCTTCAGAGAACAAGAGGTTGGACAAGTGCACAGAGAAGATAAGGAAGGGAAGGGGAAAAGTTAACAGAACACCCCCAAAAATGCAAAAAACCAGCATGGAATGAAGAGAAGGGTGAAACGACACTTGTGAATTGGAAAATAACTCTAAGGTCATAACTTCAATGTTTTTCTCTCTTGTTTCCAGAGGTGGGGAATGGTTTTGCTTCTGCTTGCGGTTTTTTACTTCAGTTTGCTTACTTGCTTTGTTGCAAAGCAGTTTTCCTTTCCATTCAGTGTGCAACAAATGAACTCATGATTGTGTGTCCTTTCATGTAACATGCAAGATGGTGGCTTATTGTATTGTTACCAAGATTATGGTTATTATTATGACTTTTTAAATCTGATTTGATCACCAATCCAGGAAATTCTTCAATTTATCTGCAGAGGGTTGCCTTTGTTTGTTGGTGTGTTGTTTGCTATTTGTTTCCAGCATATAGCAGCAGTGCAAGGATGCATTTTGTTTCCTGTTTTTATATATATATATATGTATGTATGTATATATATATATAATATATTTGCTATTCCTTTTTTAAAAATTTTTGTCTCTTGCCATGAACATTGCAGCCAGGATGTCTATGTCTTGCTGACAAATCCAGCATGAAGGCTCCTTCTCCCCTGTTCTCCAGGTTTGAATATAGATGTTGGTTTCCAGGAACATGTTGGTCAAGATTCCTGTGCAAGGCAGATAGAAAGGACCAAGTCATGGAGTGCCAGTCCATGGAGGCTCCACTTTGGATGAAGGCACTGGATAGAAACTTTGCAAACACTTGGGGCCACAGTTTACATTTAGTTAGCAGGAGCTCTGGTAATTGGCAGGAATTCAGGCACTGGGCTGGTGTTGGTGCATGAAGGACATGAGGGGAGCTGCCGCTCCCTCACTTTAAGCCATTCCACTAAAACTGGGTGGATCCTATGGGATGCAGGAATGTCTGGACTTGTTTGTACTGTGGGACAGGATAAGGCAGCTCCACCAGCCTCTCATGACCTTCCCAGCTGCATTGCTGGTCGCTTTTCCAGGCTTAAAAGCTGCCAATCAGAACCTTCATATGATAAAGAAATGGAAAATCCCAGTTCTGAGGAGCCTCTCCAAATGCACCTGCACCCTGGCTGCTGCCAGAGCCCCCAAACTGTTCCCTCTCCTCTCCACCTCTGTCCCCACTGCTCCCACACAGGGTCTGGTGGCTGTGCCATCCCAGAGGAGCCGCATCTCCTGGCTGACAGGGGGGAATGGGGTCAAACAGGGGGCTTAGGGTGGTGCAGGACTCCCCAAGCCCTAGAGAAGTGTCTGGGACTGTGACAGCTTTGGGGGGTCTGCAGGGAGGTGCAAACCTTGTGTGCTGCTGCCTATACCTGTGTGTGTATAAAAACCCAGCCTGAGGATCTGAGTGGGACTGAAAATCTGTAGAGTTTTTGTAAAGAAATTATCATTTTTGCCAGCATTGGTCTGATACTTTGGCTTTGCATAATCTGTAGACAAGTGCCTATCCACAAGGGGTTGAGGTCCCCTCAAACCCTTCTCCACTCCAGGGGGACGAGCAGGTCCTGTCCAGGTCCTTTCC